CGAAGGTCTCAGAGATCAACGGGAGCGGACAGCGGTTCGGGATGGTAATTTTGTTGAGGGCCCTGTAATCAACACACAGACGAAGTGAGCCATCACGTTTCTTCACGAACAAAACAGGAGCGCCAGCCGGGGACTCGGAACGTCGGATAAACCCCTTCGACAGGTTTTCTTGGACATAGTCATGCAGGGCCTCCATTTCGAGCTTGGACAGGTTGTACACTGGGCCGAACGAGGGAGAGGCGCCCTCGACCAAGGAAATCTTGTGGTCGTAGGGGCGATGTGGGGGAAGCTTGTCCGCCTCGACCTTGGAGAACACGGACGAGAACTCGGAGTACTTGGACGGCACCTCTGGCTGAGGTTTCTCGACGGGGGTGGGACCTGCGACCCCCACAGAGCACAGGGAAACAAGACGGGCAGCATCCAGCAAGAATACTTCAAGGTTCTCGTTCTTGATTGCGTGACGGAATGGGATGCCACCAACCAGGCTCACACTCGGGCGAGGGCTCGGCTTGGCAACGGGGACAGCTTGGGGCAACGGTGCGGACACTTGGTCGACCTTGGTTGGGCAGGTCTCGGGCACGGCGGAGCAAGACTGGGACGCGACGGGGTGGGGCTCGGACTCGACGGGCAAGGACTCGGACTCGGCAGCAGGCAAGAGCAAAGGTTCGGGAGGTGAGGGCATGGAGTGGATTGGCGTGCACGGGAGAAAAACAGAATTGTGGTGCCAATCAAAATGGGGTTTGTGCTTCGAAATCCAGTCCATTCCCAGAATGATGGGGTGGGACGCCAGCTCAATCAGTGCGAACGAAGCTTGTTCGTAGTGATTGTCGCCGGCGACCATCGGGACACAAACACTGTGACTGGACTTCAGAGCAGAGCCATCAGCAAGAGTTATCAGGAATGAAGAAGCAAACGTGGGAAGGTTATGCCGTGCTGCAAATTCAAAGTCCATAAAGGAAGTGACCGCGCCAGTGTCAATGATGGCTGTCGCGGCAATAGGCTCCGAGTTGTGCAGGATGAGAATATCAATGGAAGGTTGGGGTTCTATGACAGGATCCGGAGAAGGTGGCACGGAAGGTGAGCAAGAACTGGTAACGGGGGCAAGGTGGCATGGTACAGCGGGGGCAGGAGGAGATTGTGGTGTAAACGACTCGCCTAGGAAAGCTGCTCTGACCTTTTCTAGGCAGAGAAGTTTTCCTGGTCGGAGAGTTTATTGGCATCCACGGAGGCGAGGGGAGCGGGGACAAGAGAAGTGCGAGGGACAAGCTTGAGGGGACAGCGGAGGGCGACATGTCCTTCCTTCTGGCAGTAGTAGCACTTCCCGGCCAGTCGGAGGGCCTCCCTCTCCTCAGGAGTCAGTCGGTGGGCACCCGTCTGGCCCAAGTCCATGGGCTGCGGACCAGGGGTGAGGGGACGGGGAGCTTGGAAAACTGGGCGTGGGACTTGGCGTGGCCCAGGGGCCGAGGGGCGGTGGGCCGAACGGCGCGAGCGTTGGTCCTCCTGTCGGTTGTCAATCAGGATTGAGGCGCTGATGAGCTCTTCGAGGGAGTCGAACTCTTGACGGGACAACTCTTCCTGAACCGACGGCTTGAGATTGTGCTCGTAGTGGAACATGAGCGCCTTGTCTCCCCAATCAGCAAGGTGGATACGGAGGCGACGGAATTCGGAGGCATAAGTGGCAGCGGAGCCGGTTTGAGAGAGCTTGACGAGGTCACGGGCGGCGGCAACAGCAGGTTGGACTCGGCCGAAGGCGGTGCGGAGGGCCTCGGAGAAGGCTTCGAAGTTGTTGATGACCTCGGGTTGCTCCTCCCAAGGGGCTTCTATCTTTTCGATGAACGGCGCCATGTAGTCGGCGGCCGTGCCATCAAGGTAGGATAGAGCGTAGAAGACCTTGTCGACTCCAGTTGGGTAGTCCGGGGGATTGGAGGCGAATACGAGACGACAGTGGGCCAAGAAGGCGTTGAGGCGGCTTGGATCCTTGCCCGAGAAGCGTTCTGGAGGGCCCATCCTTGCGGCAACGCCAAGAGCCGGCCGAGTCTGACGGGCAGGGCGAACGGGACGACCTTGTTGGGCTTGGGGCTCGGGGTCGTCATGGTAGCGGTCAACAGGGGCAGGACCAGGGGCGGCTCGAAGGGCTTGAAGAGCCTCGTGGACCCCAAGGGCTATGGCGTCGTTGAACTCGGCACGGCGTTGGGCTTGGTCCTGAACGACAAGGGCACGAAGGTCGTTGAAGGCAGCCCTTTGAGTGGTCAGCTGGGTTGAGATTCGGTCGAGTACCTGAGTGTGCTCGTCGACATGGCTGACGGTTGCTTTGAGGATGGCGGCATCCTGTTCGGTGATGGAGGGGCCAGACAGGTTTGAAAAAAAGCAGGGCAGAATATGGGGGGGTGGTTGAAGGTCTTGCCTAATGTCAAGGATTCAGCGGCTGGAAGACGGAAATGCCAAATATATTCGAGACGAGGAACACTACGAAAAGTACAAGAGGCAAGACGAGCTCAAAGGAAGAGGCTCGTCTGTCGGGTTCATATGCCTGCGACTAGTCTCGGCGCAGGCAGGCGAGCAGACATCGACCTGATCCCGCCACAGTCGGGACCAGTTGCAACCACGGGACTCGGGAGCAGCCCGGGTTCTCTCCCGAGCCACCTGGTTGCAGCGTTAGGCACACGTCCCGGCCGAGCGAGGAGGGGAACCCGATTGAGTTCATGACAGCTTAGTCGTGAGAAATTGACAGGCACGCAGACCCGGTGGTCGCAGTTCTTGTCTCAGTTCGACCTCTGGATCCAATATCTCCCAGGTCCAAAGGACGGCAAGGCCGACGCTCTCTCCCGCCGCCCGGACTACGTCCCTCCGTCCGCACCTGTGTCCAAGGAGCCTCCCCCGTTGCTGCCACCTTCGTCGTTCGCCTGTGCCGTCCGTCGCTCCTCGGATGCAAGTTCCACTCGCCCCGTGGACTTGCTCAAGCTCATTGCCGAGGAGCAACCCAAGGACCCGTCCCTGGACCAGCTCCGCAACGATCCCAAGTATGTCCTGAAGGATGATCTCCTCACCTTCATGGACAAGATCGTTGTTCCCAAGTCATGCCGAGTCCCCGTCCTCAAGTCATGCCACGATCCTGTCGCTGTTGGACACCCTGGCATTCGGCGGACTCGGGCACTGATCTCGAGGCAGTTCTGGTGGCCCTCGATCCGCAAGGATGTCCAGGCTTATGTCTCGACGTGCGACACTTGTGCACGCTCGAAAGTCCCTCGACATAAGCCGTTCGGATACTTGCAGCCCCTCCCGACGGCATCGCGACCCTGGTCTCTGGTGACGATGGACTTTATCACCGACCTCCCCGAGTCCAACGGCAAGACTTGCATCTTTGTCGTCGTCGATAGCCTGACCAAGATGGCCCACTTCCTTCCCTGTCGGTCCCTCCCAAGTGCCGAGGAAACAGCGTCGCTGTTCCTCGACAACATCTTCCGCCTCCACGGTCTCCCAGACGACATCGTCTCGGACCGAGGAAGCCAGTTCACCTCGCGGTTCTGGCAGGCCCTGTGCTCGGAACTCGGCATCAAGACCAGTCTGTCCACGGCGTTCCACCCCCAAACCGATGGACAGACTGAGCGGGTCAACCAAGTCATCAACCAGCATCTCCGCTGCTACACCTCGTACCAGCAGGATGACTGGGCGATGCTACTTCCGCTCGCCGAGTTCTCATACAACAACCTCGAGCACACCTCGACCAAGACCTCCCCGTTCCTGGCGACTTACGGCTTCAACCCCCGATTCGAGTCTCCGGTCCTTCCTTCCAGCCTCGATGTCCCCTCCGCGACCGACCGAGTCGAACACCTTCAGCACAACTTGGCGTTGCTGAAGGAGAACCTCGAGAAGGCCAAGGCGGACTACAAGCGCTTTGCGGATGCCCACAAGTCCGACGCTCCCAAGTTCGCTCCTGGCGATCAAGTCTGGGTCCTAACGCGCAACATCAAGACCACCCGTCCAAGCAAGAAGTTGGACTACCAGCGCATTGGACCCTACAAGATCGTCGAAGCCATCGGTTCCCTCGCCTTCCGCCTCGACCTTCCCAAGGATCTCAAGATCCATCCGGTGTTCCATGTCTCCCTCCTCGAGCCCCACAAGTCGAACACCCTCCCCGGCCGCATCCAAGACCCTCCTCCGCCAGTCCGCGTCGACGACCACTTGGAGTATGAAGTCCAGGAGATCCTCGACTCCAAGCTGGTCCGCGGTAAGTTGAGCTATTTCGTTGATTGGAAGGGCTACTCGACCGATCATCGCAGCTGGGAGCCCGCCAACTACGTTAACGCTCCCGACAAGATAGCCGACTTCCACCGCCGGTACCCCGACAAGCCTGGACTTATTGTTCGCAGGAGTGGCCGTAGTTTGGGGAGGGGATGATGTGATGATCATGCACGTTGGGAACACGTGTGGACTGCTGCGCGTGATGCACTGTGAGTCATGTTTGTTTGTCTCGGCGTGTATTCCCTGATTGGCTGGCGCCGATGACTCTGACTTCGCCTCCGACTGCGCTGTGCTTCACCTCTCTCTCTGGGTGCTCCGCCTTGCTCGTAGCGTCTTACAATCGGTTTACCCTCCTGTTTCACGATACAGGGATTCGTATATGGTTTCTTGTGGCGACAAGATTCTTGTGCCAACCGGAGTACGAATATGGTTCTCCTGGAGTCGCCTTTCTCATACTAGACTCTTTCAATCAGATCGTCGGTTTGGCTTATCGGTTCAGGACCCAACGACAACATTGACAAGGGACACTTCCATTATTGTGATGATCCGAGGCTGGGATCCATACCTCAAGCGAATCGTCCGGCTGTTCTTCATTTGCTCTCCTCTCTCAGCTCCTCCCTCTCGCTTCAGGCAATCTCACCCTTCCACTCAATTCTCACATTCCTGGACATCGTCTTTCCCCCGGTCATCAACCTCTCCCATTCACCTCGCTGTGCCTATCTTGTTCCTTGGCTGTGATCCGACGTAGCTGCGTGAGACAACCTCTCTCGAGACACAAGTGTGAGTTTTTGACCTCTAATATGGCTTGGTGATGCGGGATGGGTGATTGGGTTTCGCGCTATGGCAACTACTTGCCTGATCTGCCACACCCTGCGCTCCCTCATGATGCGTAGTCACATTCGTTCTCAGGACAATCTTTCCATGTGAATCGGTCGCGACGGATCGCTTGTATTACAAAAATCGCCCTGATCGGCTGAGGAGCGTCTTCCAAACGGCAACTTTGTTACTGTGTTGTGTCCTAAAATCTGGGATCTTTCGCTGAGTCACTCATCACAGGTTTCCTGTCCAAGGTGGCCTCTCTGGATATCAGCATATTTTTCATAGATGTGACAATTCACTTGGGTTTATTCCCTTCCACAAAACCTCAATGCTCAGAGCCCAAGACGACTTCGCTGCAGAGGAGTTCCTGGCTCCCGTCGCCCGCGCTGACCTCTGCCGGGGGTCAGTATCCGGGATCTTGAGATTGAAGAGGCAGTGTCAATAAGATCGTCCCTGGATTTGCATCCGAATCGCACCATCATATCCACACGGTCGCTTGCATTGTCGTTTTACCTCGAGACCGGGGTCGCTTCTGTGACAGAGTCCTCAGCGCGCTTTCTCTCGGTTGCAAGCCGTAACTCCTCTTCCATATGAGACATTTCCACACGATCCTGATGTCGCTTCTCACGCTGGCTAAAGTGCTGTTCTTTGATGCTGAAGAACATGGGACCGAGTTCTGCCAGCCATCTAAGTAAATCCCCATGTTACAATATTCCAGAATGGGTTGTTAGTTCGAGGTTCGCCCCCCCCCCTTGAATCACCGTCGGGTGCCATCAGCATATTGGATCGCAGCACTCAAGAATCTACTAATCTGCCTTTCAATCTACGTCACATTATGCAGTCATTTCGGCACAGCTCTGGCCGTATTCATAGATGCAAATCGGCACTTACTCTGCTTCCACAGCGGTTACGCATTGCATATACTCCTTGGATGTCATTACAAGTTCGTGGTAGACAATATAGTCGGATGTATGGCCGCGCCCATAGAGTGCACTTGTTGGATGCAGATGGCATGGCATGCCTGTCCGCATATTGACATATTCGCCGATACCCTTCAATTTGGCAGATTGATGAAAGTACGCGGAGCAAATGCATTTTCTGGCGACCAAGTTTGTCTCGTGTGTTAGCCAAGATATGGTTGCATCACCCCATCGGTACACGCTGGCCAGCCTTCGATATGAACTGGTGCCGAAGCGACGGCATCAGCATGGCCGATTCTTTTACCTGATTACGTCCCACTCCATACCACAGGAAAGATTTGCCATCTTTTCAGATTTCATGATATCGGCCAGTTGCGTGCGAACCTCCCGGGCCTTGCGCATGGCTTTTGAGTGCAAGAAGTGCTCCGTGCACCAGTCATCCCGATAACTAGCACCCATCAGGGCGGATATTCCACAGATACGACGCGCGATGATCGATTGTGCGTTTCCAACAGATGCGAAGACATCACGAATGAAACCGTTGTATGCCATCATTAGTCGAAAGGTTGTTTCCACCGCCCGCGAGCAGGATCACATACGATGTCTCTTTTGGGGACTTGGTGAAGAGCATCGCACTTGCAATCGATACGGTTAAACTCCGTATCAGTGTCTCATTTGCACAGCCAACCACGGAGCCACTTTGGTGTGGATAGGTTCAGCTCTACTTACCCGTTCGCCTTCCATTGAAGATAAATGTAGAGCAGAGTCAAATGGTCGCTTTCTCCGACAAAAAACTTTTCTCGTGCCGCGTCGCTCTCTTCTGCGCGCTCCTTGGGGCGGTAAAACACCGTTGGTACAGAGAGCATCGACACAATTGTCTTTGGTTGCGGAAATCAGACAATGGGAATGATGAGACAGATGATTGCAACGGCGCGGCGCCTGATCGCCTCGTAGTACCCTCTGCCTTCACACCGATGTTTCTCGAGTCATTGGCATACCAGAACTTCCTCGGAACAATGGAGATCCTCGGAGGCGATCAGCATTTTCGCCAGGGACGGCTCCAGTGGGAATGACACCATCTTGCTCCCAACTGAGGTCAATTCACCGGTATTGTCCAAGGCACCAAGCACCCATAGCTGATACATTGAGTTTAGGATGTTGTCCTGTTTTGGTTCAGAGTGATATCATTGGCGGCATATTAGTCTTATGGACGGTGCGATGTGATCGACTAACGAGAACTGTTGATTCATAGCGATCGAAGTGCCATGTCATGATCTGGCTGCATCACATTTCCACTCGGTTGACCACAAACCTGGGGAGGCGGATCCATGAACTCGAAATCCAAGAGACTCTTGATCCCTAGTGATTTGAGAAGCAGCACGACATTGGCCAAGTTGGTCCGCTGTATCTCAGGGATATTGTTTGGGAACAGTTCATGGTTGAAAGCTGACTCGGTATACAATCGGAAGCAAGTACTAGATCAGGTCGAAGCGGGATTCCCAACGCAACCCGTTAGTATGCTGTCGATAAACCAGTCGCGAGCCCACACTGGCTGACCACTGAAGAGCCATCGCCTTACCCGGCTCCTGTACGCCCGGCACGTCCCGAACGTTGGCCTGCATTCGCCTGGCTGATCGGAGTCACTTGCAACGAGTCCATCCCGATTTTTGGATTATACACTTTCAGTTTGCAATAACCTGGGTCGATGACATACATGATGCCATCGACTACATTATCCATGGTTGTGTTAGTTCATGTCGGCTAAACAACTGAGAGGCATGGCCATGATCTATATGAAGGTAACATCCACATGGCTATCGGGCTTGATTCGTTGCCTCAACGACTCTGAATCTCTTCACAGCCAAAATTTGAATCACTTCGATCAGAGCCCACCTGTTAGGGATGTCTCTGCAATATTGGTGGCGACGATGCACTTTCTAGCGCTGTTGCTTGCACGTTCAAATATCTTGGCCTGCAAATCCGCAGGAAGTTGAGAGTATATCGGCAAAACACTCATGGCTGGTGCATCATCGAGTTGAGCAAGGCGCTCTGGGAATCAGGACACAGGACAAGGCGTTCACGCATGTTAATGCACTGCATAGTTTCTCGGAACAGCTCCATCCTCGTCTCAGACGCAGTGTCAACATGCACCGCGACAGGAGTGTCCCTCCATCATTCAAAACGCAAGGGCCGACGTTGAACTGGGAAAATATGTACTAAAAGGGGTGGGCAGCTTGATCTCAGAGTGGGTTGCCTCAAGTCTCGAACCTTGTACCAGCGGGAAACATACCTTCCACAACCTCGCAAGTAATTTCAATGTCCTCTTGACCCGGCATAAAAACCAAGATGTCCCCAGGGGGTCGCGAAAGATGGATGGCAAGAACTTGCTTCACAGCGGCATCGACATAATCCTCACTGGCAGTCCGACTGAACATGATGTCGACCGGGAAAGTGCGGCCTGGGATGATGAAAATGGGAGCGTTTCCAAAGAAGGTCGAAAACTAAGAGTGGTTTGCATGTCAGCATCGTAAGAAACCAACGAGGTGTGTCCTGCAGCATTAACTTGTTACCTTCTCAGCATTCATGGTTGCCGATGTGACAATGAGTTTCAAGTCTCGTCGGCGGGAGATGACTATAGGTGGCAACAGTGAGCTGTTAGTACATCGGGACCGAGGCGGCGTTCGCACTACGCTGAGCAATTGGTCGACATACTTCGGATGAGAAGGCCCATGAGGACATCAGTGTGGAGAGACCGCTCGTGTGCCTCATCCATGATAATGGCGCTGTACTGATCCAAGTTTGGAGTCGTGAGAGATTCTCGCAAGAGTACACCGTCAGTCATATCTAGCCTCGGTACCAAGAGGGCGTGACCAGAGGCAGTCAATGAACAGCCGCATTAGCATGTGTAGGCCAATGCGTGATGTAGTGCGGAGCCGGGAGGCGAAAGGGTCGACAGCCAATCGACTTGTAAACGGCCACTGCGTCTGCGGGAATCCATCGAAAATTGACAATCCTACAAGCCTTACATTTGATGATGGTTTCGGGTGATGTGCAGTCTTCGAATCGGATCGAGTAACCAACTTTCTCTCCGAGTTTGGTCTGGAGGCCCCAACACATCATATGAGTAAGCTTCATGGTAAAACAGACGCCGCCCCCCCCCACCTCTAGTGCTGTCAAGAGCAGCCAGACGAAAACATACGTCCATTTCTTCGCTGACTCGCTTGGCAACAGACATGGCGGCCACACGCCGCGGTTGGGTGCAGCCGATCACACCGTATTTGCTGTATCCCTCTTCATGCAAATACTGAGTCAGTTGCGTCGTCTTTCCCGAGCCAGTTTCGCCGACAACGATCACAACTGTAAACCGAGAATAAGACAACGGGATTGGATGGTCAATTGCTGTGACAAATGCGATTGCCCGCAACAAGCTTTCGAGATGGTGTGATTTGCATGGTAGCGTCTGATTACTTTGATTGTCGCGAATGACGTTCATCAGCTCTTCGCGCACAGCAAAGGCAGGGAGAAATTCACGCTGCTCGCGGATCGTTTTCGACTGGGCGAAGGTGCTGACTGCATCCGACTTTTCATGGAGATGGTCCGAAAATTTGGCTTCGCCTTTGTACTCCTCTTCCCCAGTGTCTTCTGGTAGATCGTCCTTTCGCTTGGTAACACCCATGATATTTCCAAGCGCCGTTCCAGCGAGCTCCCAAGACTTTGGAGCAGCCTACATGTCGACAAATCGTGCGAGTCAGCCTCCACTTTGGTGGTTCTAACTGCAATCAAGGACATACCTTGATTCGCTCCTTCTGCTCCCTTCGGTCCCGAACCAGTTTGCTGCCTTTGCGAGAAAAGACAGCCATGTCGGAAGTGGGGTCCTTGACCGACTGGATCGCTTCCAGCTGCTTGGTCAAGACGATCTTGGAATCCAAGAACGGAGGCTTCAAATCTCTGACAAGAATATGGATTCGTGTCTGCAGAGCAGATGGAGTCAGCCATGTTGGTTGATGGACCACATCCGCCACGCGCCCAGGTCGGCTCTCGCAACCAACGACCAGACGACTGCGACGCCCAACATCGTTGATGATCGAGCCTGCTAAATGTAGAAGCTCCAGATCACAGCACGTTGATATGAGGCTGTCCTCAGCACGACTCTTGGGATATCTGGACCTGGGCGACTGCTCACCTCGCCTGAGTCTTCAAAGTTCAAGTCCTCCTCGGTGCGCTGGACGACGCCACTCGTAAGCATGCGGTTCGTTTCCCACATATCGTTGTCTCTGTTGTATTGGGCCTGTCGCGCTGATATTTTTTTCTTCCGTGAGCATCGCCATTGCAAGTTCAAGTAAATTGGGACTGTCAGTGAATAGCATCGGCTGAACGGCACAGCCCACGAGAACAGGAAAACCGACAACATGCGTTGGGGGGGGGGTGGATTGTGTCCTACCACTTGCTGCTTTGTGAGTTCCTCCTCTTTCTTGCGGTAGTAATCCTCATAATCGCGGAATGGATTGTGGTAGTCATCGGCAGCCTAGTCTCCATGGTAGGACAGTAAGCGTCGTAAGAAAATAAATCAGCGACACATACTCTCAGCTCTCAACTCTCAGCTCTCAACTCTCAGCTCTCAGCTCTCAGCTCTCACAACACCTACCCCTCCTTCCTCTTGATTGTACCACTCGCGATCGAGGCGCTGCTGCTCTCCATCCCAGTCAGCAAGTTCCTCATGCGAGGATGCAAGCGGACCCGCATCCTCATAGCCGGTGGAGTGCTTCGGAGTGGTGAGGTCCCACGACGAGTATTTTGAGGTTGATGCTGTGGCTACATCGGGCGACGCATGGCAGAGCATTTGTGTACGTTTCCGTGCAAACACTTGATTAATTGGTCGATATCTCACGCTGAGCGACGCTTGGGTCGTGCTGCCACAGGCGCTCGTCCGAACACAGCAACCCCATACTTGAGCTGATCTTACTTCGTGGGGTCATTCCTCCCAACGATCTGGAAGGAGTGGCGTCCCATCCACCGCTGGATCTGCTGCTTGATGGCGTTGGTGGCTGCACAGGGGCTGAATTCCGGCCGTCTTTGGATGGGCGATGGAGACCGCCCGCTTTGAAGAAGTGGATAGTAAATGTGAGAACTCAACTTTGCCGAGACAGCTCGATTCGTACCATTGACTGCGATAGACCCTGCCGGCTCCAGAACCACGACGGACCTCGACAAGCGACTTTGCCATACCTCGACGACGTTCCCGATCCACCCAACGCTCCCTGGCGACCTCGGAAACACCTCCTCCATACGACGGAGTCTCGGGTTTGGGTACGCGATACCGTGTCGATCGTGAGGGATGTTCCGACCGAGCTGACAGCCCGAGATACCACAAATGAGAGCCCATACACATTAGTTCGGGGATGCTGCAAGACATGAATCTTTGCACCGCTTGAGGGACGGCGGGGAATGGCTGCGTTCGTAACCTACACTCTCGTGCTTCGTCGGTTGAATCGAGTCGGAGACGCTTTTGAGCATCCGAGTTGGCGCCTTGCTGCTCACGCTCAAGCCTCTTCTGATTTGCAAGGGTATCAAGCCCCAAAGCAGAGGCCCGGGGCTGCGGCTGCTTAAATACATGCTCGGATGCGTCGGGGGCAGCTTTTTTGCGGATGATGAGCCCGCCTTGCTCTGGGGCCGAGCCCTCGAGCCGATCGGTGTGAACAAAGCTCCCCTGGATCGTCGGATGACCCCTGCTTTTTCTGTCTGACATTGCTGCTCCCAGAGGTCGTTGCTGGTTGTTGCTGGCTGTTGCTGGTTGTTGCTGGTCGTTTGTCCAGAGCGATCGGGCGGTCGGATCTGTGGGTGTTGGTCGGCTTTGTGTGGTCTGATCTGGCGACCGGTGCGCGCACTCGAGCCGGATGGATGGCGGATCGATCGGTGGATCGATCGCTGGCCTTGCGCCTCCATTTGGCTCTGGGGCGGATCTGGTGCTGGTCGCCTGGGCTTTCCTGGCTGCTTGTCTCAGGCACGATCTCGACGGACGATGCTCCTCAAGATGGCCTCGACGACGCACTCGGACCAAGTTCAAATAACGGATACGACATGGGGCGTGCTAGTGTCCATGACTGAGCGCCTCTCATCTGTCGTCCTCGACAAGACCGCAGACAGCGCCCCCGCAGAACCGCCGCGCGGATCTGAAGCCGATGCCAACCAGAGCAACAAAAGCGGGTATCTTCTCGGCCGCAATCGAGAGTGCGACATTGTCATCCCGAACATTCCAATGGTTTCCAATCGCCACTGTCTGATCTACAAGGTATCCTGAACAATGATGCACGCCTTACGCATTATTGTCATGGGATCCCCATGATGTGCCAGCAGCACACTTTGCGGACATGCGAAAGAGGCTGTTCTTCGTTGATCTGGCAACCGACAGCAGCCGCACCAACCAGAGTAAGGGCCATCGTTTCTGTCGCATTTTTGACGCTAAATACCTTGACCCCCGAAGGAATCGATCATTAGCTCGGATCGATCAACCCATGGGACTTGCGTTTTCATCAAGGATCTCAGGTATAGCCAGTGCACCCTGTCTCCCCCCCCTCGTCAGCTGTTTACCATACCATGTCAGCAGATAGTGCATGTCTCTGCCTCTAAATATGAGTCAAAGATGCAAGGATTGGTGTACCACATACGAACTGACAAATATCATCTCAGCACCAATGGAACGTTCGTCAACGGTGTCCGCATTCCCAAGAACCAACGGCATCAGCTTCACCACGGCGACACCATCCAGCTGGCTGTCTACGATGCTAGCAAGAAAGGAGCGGCTTTTGACGATCAATGTATGCGTCTTTTGCACTGCGGCCTTGACTTGGTCACCGGTATTTTCGCACGAGCTAACCCATGCTTCCTATGATGGCCCAACCGCCAGTCTACATCTTCCGGCTGCCCAAGGGAGAGAAGAGTGCAGGAATCGAAGAGGTGAGAGAGCGAGCCACCAAGTGCGCTGATTATTTTTTTTTGCGGCGGTGGGCTATGCTGACACCAAAGGATTGACCTTCCTGGGGCTGTAGACTCTCCGGGGCAAGTTTGTCGTCAACCGTAAGCTCGGAAGGTGCGTCCAGAACAATGTGGTTGCAAGAAAATGATTAGATGCCGACCACGCCAGGCCCTGTGCGGTGTGGGAGGACCAAAATTGCATTATATTCGGAAAGGGTTTCGGAAATGGAAAGGCAATGGCCCATACACATGGGCAAGCTGGACAAATGCGTATGGGCAAGCTGGGCAAACGACAGCCATGCCGTACGATATCTAAGCTATGCGCGCCATGTCGAACAATGGCCTTGTCTTGGTCTTTCGACCGTATGCTGACGGCCCGCGGGCGACACTGGCTTCGTTCTGATGGACAACAGCGGGAGCTTCGCAACTGTGTACGAGGCCACCCATCGCAAGACTGGCAAGCGATACGCAATCAAGGTCATCTCCAAGGGCAAGAATGCCAAAGCCAAAGTATTGGAAAGCCTTGAGGCCGAGATCTCCATCCTGATGAGTCTTTCTCATGTACGGCCTGCATGTATTGCGCCGATTCGAGGCCAGCATGTGATGCGGCTGGATGCTTACCCGTCGGCCGGGATCAGCCGTGCATTATCTCTATATACGATGTATACAACAGCCAAAAGGATGTGTGCATCATCCTGGAACTGTGAGTATGCTGCTACCGGTGCCAGCAGAGATCAAAGCAGGGATGGGGGATTCATATCGGCAGTGTGCTATGCAATATCCACTGACTTGGTTTGACGCTCACAATATTCGCCTACGGAATCCACCAGGGTCAAAGGTGGCGAGCTCTTCAACCGCATCGTCCAAGAAACACGCTTCTCGGAAGACAATGCCCGGAAAGTTATGTTTCAGCTCTTCGCGGCCCTCAAGGTATTATTTGTGGCGGCTGTGTGGGATCCAAGAACGACAGCGGACTCTGCTCCACGATTGCTCATTCTGCTTCTCCATCGATAGTACCTCCACGATAGGGAGATTTCTCATCGCGATCTCAAGCCCGAGAATGTCTTGCTCGTTTCTAAAGATGCCAATGACATGCGCATCAAGCTGAGCGACTTTGGCTTGGCTAAGCTGATAGGGGAGCAGAACTTTATGAAAACTCTCTGCGGCACCCCAAACTATGTTGCTCCCGAAGTGCTCACACACGCCGCTGGCAGAAGCTATACGAAGGCGGTTGATTTGTGGAGTTGCGGTGTGATACTTTATATCTGGTAAGTGGGATGATCCCACGTCGGCGCCTGTCGGATGCCATAAGCAGTTCAGCAGCACTATTTGCTGAGTGTTGAGTCTCTATCCAATTCCACGCAGCTTGGTAGGATTCCCGCCGTTTTCAGAAGAGCTGGCGCCACCAAGGATGACAGACCAAATCAAGCTCGGAAAATATGCCTTCCCATCGCCCTGGTGGGACAGTATCTCGCCCGAAGGTAGGTCTTGTGCCGAGGCTCTCCGGATCCATATGCAAAATCACCTAACCGCCTTTCTTTTGGATTGCAGCAATTGATCTCGTTAAAGGCCTGCTCACAGTCGATCCAGCCCAGCGACTCACGACAGACCAAGCCTTGGAGCATCCATGGATGAAGGTCTGTTCAGCACATTGGCGTGTCCAAAACACTTGCGCAACACTTGCTCGCCTGACACGAGTGTTCACCCTCTCACCCCCTCTGTCTCTGATGGACTTGGACAGAAATTGTGCTTGGACCACACCCAAGACCCCTTCATCGCTGCGGTTGCAAACGCAACAGCCCCAGCTCAGATGACTCGCGGTGATACGATCAATCCCGTGGATCAGCAAACGAATCAAGACCTTGGAGACCAGGCTGCCGACGATGGACTCAACATATCATATTTTAGGGACGATATCGTTCCCGCCAGCAGTGACCTGCATGAGCACAGGAGCATAAGCCTCGTCAGCTCTGGACATCGTGGCGGTGACTTGGATGCCAGGGTAATGGACGAAAGCAGCGGCCAAACCCATCTCAGCGCCGGTATGAACACCATTCACTTCAGCCCAAACACTGCAGCGCCGATCCCAGCTTCGGATCCGGATGGCGTAGACACGGAACGAGTCTCGATCGACATTGCTTCGCCCGATGCTCTCCGGGTCGAGTCAGTCGTGAGCGCCACTCAGTCACGACCGAATGTTGCCCGGAAAAAAGGCCGTGGTCGGGCCAACGCACCCCAACCCAGGACCGTACACGTTGCTGATTCAATGGATGCATCAACAAGGCAAGCGCAGCGGCCGCCATCGACCCAGCCCGAACCCAGCATAAATGAGGAGTTCGTTCCGGCAACACCAAATAGCCAAGAGGATGACATTGGCCCGAGACGATCGAAACGGCTCAAGCACAAATCAAGCATTTCCAGCACTCACAGAGCGAACCGGGACAGCCCGTACTGAGGCCAGTGGCCGCTCGATTCTGGGTCCTGAATACATACACTGATCCGCCCTTGTCAGCACACTTCGCCCTCAGCACCTCTGAGGTCATATGCAGTCGCTATGGATGATGGACAAAGTGTATATTCATGTCTAAATTGCGAGGGCGGTAGAAGCAGTGTGTCCAGCAATGTGTTGCATTGATCGTCATATGGTTTGGGGAGTGGCCAGACAGGAACGGTGATGTCCGCCCCTCGCTCTATCACAGGACCTTGCTCCGGGCGCTCGACCTCTGATTTGTCGAAGCTGCCAGCAGCGAGTGACAGTAGACAAGCCCATGGTCGTCTTTGCGATCGTGCGCTGGCAAATACCGCTGATCTCGTTGCCTCGTATTTGAGCATGATGCTCCAATCGACTGTTTGGAGGTGCCAGCGGCATCCACCCGCCCCAACGGCTTTGGTGCGCCGACGCCGGTTTGGTCGGAGCCGTATCTTGTGCGATGGGCATGTGTTGGGGGCAAAGACCGCAACGGAAGCGTCAGGTCGTCGTGCCGGAGGCTTGGGTAGCCGCATGCAGTTGGGGCCGAGGAACTGCAAGTGTTGGTCCGAGGCGAGGACCGATGTGGATTGCCGATACTTTCGCACAGAGCATCCGAGGCTCGGTATCGGTGCTGGATGTCCACAGGCTGTGATCGCTGGGCTTGCGAATGGCCCGAGCAGCTCGATCTTGTGGGCGGGATAGGGTGCTGGGGCGTCCAGTCCATGTCGCTCGGCGGTAATGGCAGTCGCTGACAAGGATTCGCTCTTGTTGATTTGGCGACAAATGATCGAAGATCGAGCTCAAACGAGTCATACTGCTCAGCAGCCACCACGGCGCGGAACTGGATCGTATCCAGGATCTTCATCTCGAGCCGGTTCATCTCGGACACGCCAATGTAGTGGCCGCCAGAATGAGAAACCTCGCACCAGGTTTTGTTGGTGAAGGTGTGGTCATCGAGAATTTTGTTGCTGAGGACAAGCAACATCAGGACCAGACTCATGGGGTCCCGCCAGGTCCCGAGAAAACACGAGCTGCAGCAGTACTTGATCTGCGTGCGGAGTCGTGTGAGATAGTAGAGCGCGTGGACAACGACAGGGGTGCCGATGTCGGTGGTGACGAGCACATGGTTCAGGAAGGGCAGGAAGCTGGGCGGCACGGGCGCGGGCAGGTCGGGGCAAAGCTTGGCGAAGAGCGCCACCACCACCCGGGAAAGGTACTTGGGGCACGATGGGATGGGTCTTGCACCATCATCCATGTGTTCTCGCTGCGGCTGGATCGCGGGGGATGGGACGGCGTTTGGGTTGTGGGCGGCTGCGTCGCGCATGAGAGTTGGCGACAGGATCGGCCTGGATATACAGGCATTCTTGGTGCGATGGCCATCGCGATGAGCGGTCTCTTGGTGTGGATCGGCCAGCGCCATACAGCGCCATGCCGGCACAGGCGATGTCGGGGTGATGGGCAGTGACGGCCTCGTGGAGGAGCGGGTCATGGAGCGTGTCTGGATGGCGGCGACCCTTGAGGTCCTGGAGCGATGCTGGCCGTTCCGGGGGAGGAAGGACTCGGACATGGATGGGCGAGAGGCTGGCAATCAAACAAACAGGGCTGGTGAGCAGACAACGATCCAACGGCAAGCTCTGGCTCTGGACGCGGGGACGGCAGAAGCGGCTCGGGAAAGCGTCCGTGCTGCCTTTTAATCGGCGACCTGACCAAGAGACCGCCAGCCGGGCGAGCCCGGTCGATTTCGCGCCAAACGCCGGTCACAGCCGAGCATTGGCGCTCTGGGATCCCTTCGCAAGACGATCTTTGCCAGAGCCGCCTGGCGATGCCGACAACGCTGGCGACGCTGGCAGCGCTGGCAGCGCTGGCAAAGGCTTGTCGTTGGGGTCCACCAACAAGCGGGTGGCCGAGGAAGTACCTCGGCGGAGCGGGAGCGGCCAGGACTGGCGGCAAGTCGTGCCCAGGAGCCGCACGAACCCTCTTGGCAACCCTGGATCAACCAACAGCAGCGCAACCACCCTCAGGGAAGAGCCACACGGTCGACAGCACGCAGGGATGGGTGGAGAGCAGGGATGAGGGAGAGCGAGCGACGGGTGTCTTGGAGGCGACAGGAGCTGCCAGTACTCCTGGATCATTAGTTGATCGTTAGTTGATCGTCGGCTGATTGTTGAGTGATCATCATGGGCTGATCATCATCGACTGATCATTGTTGAGTGGTCATCATCGAATGGCCATCATCGACCGGTCATCAAGTGCAACGAGCGGCCACGGCGAGCTCTGGATGCTGTGGTCGAGGCCAAAGCACCGACCAAGAGCACTTTCGCTGTGCACTCGATCGCCGTCCGCACGATTGACTATGCAAATTCTTCCAGTCTGGGAGTTTGCCACCGACCTGCCGATGGGCGCTCTCGATGCATCATCACGACTTTTCGGGGCTGCTGTGCAACTCGATCCCTTCCGCCGCGTGCGTTGGTCGAGTCGTCCATGTCCAACATCCGGTTGCCACTCCGGGCGAATATTGAATATGCCGATACATCGAGGTGCAGGTACATCAAAGAGCCGACGCACTGAGGTGCAGATGCATCAACGAGCCGACACACCGCCGCCTAGTTCAGCTCGATCCTCACAAGTCTCCGCTGCCGGCGGCTTCTTCCAAGGTTTTGAGGAATCTATGTGTCGGAAAACCTGTCGGTCGGTTGGCTCAGTCGTCAATCTATCTTCATCGACCACCCCGCCCAGCTCGGACTGCAAGATGCTGGGCCTCTCCCATGAGCGCTATCCCGCCATCGGCACGTTGCCCGCTCTCGATCGGGAGACTCACCAACGACGTTGTAGTAGCAGCCATCTATCTTGCTGATCAGGGCCGACCCAAGTCCCTGGTAGCCATATCCGCCAGCCTTGCCCCTACCAACCGAAGCGTCAGCAGCCGATTCGATCGCAATTCGCTTTCGAAGTCACCGACACAGGCACTGGGTCGACTGGGCCAAACTCGCGGACTTACATGGGCTCGCCAGTCAGAACGTATGCATCAATCCAGGACTCATCGAGAGCGCCAAAGGTGACCCGAGTGGATTCATGGCATGTTCGACATTTCCAGCCGCCGCCGTGGATCCAGTCGTCCGAGGCATTTGTGGAAGCAATGCGTGAGAGCGATCCGGCTTGGGTCGTGAACAGCAGACAAAAGGCCGTGACGACACAGTGCGGCCTGCCCGACAATTCAGACAGAATGCACTTGGCGTGCTCGTTGTCGGTGGGTTTCTCGATGATGCAGGAAGGCGAGTCAAGAGTGATAATGACGGTGTCGGCCGAAATGACCAGTAGCGGCTCGACGGGGCTTTGCTGCCGCAACTTGGCCAGAACGGCATATCCCTTTTCAAAGGCAGTCTGTCGGACGTAATCGACTGGATTCGAAAAGGATGACTGCTCCCGGTGCATGGTGCGATAGAGCCAATTTGAAAGGGCATGAGTTTATCGAGCGACAGGCGCACCTGGTTCTCCCTGCACCTCGGCCCGAGTTTCGCTGCGGGCTGTGAGTGCCTCGTGTTTGCTCTTGCAGGTTCGGCAGCGGTAAATGCAGTCCGAGCCCACCTTTTCCAACGTCTCGGGAAAGTCTGAGACCTCGACTCGGAAGGGTATTCCCTGGGCAGTCGATTGATCGAGAAACATATTAGCCCATAGTCTGGCTGGCGATTGTCGAGAGCCCGTTGTGAAGCGATGAAAGCTGCAGCTCGCCGGCGAGAAAATGCAGGCCCGCGAGTCGACCCGCAGCATCGGCGGTAGATCACACCATTTGCGACAGGATCTCCCTTCGTCTTGGGGATCCCGAAGCCAGGATGATGGTGCGCTTTCTAGGCGAGTCGGCGTCCAGGAGGGGCCTGAGAAACGGCAGCAACATAGGCTGGGAAGCCATGGCGGCGATCGGGGTAGGTGCTGAGATCTGGGGTGCGTCGGGTTTGGGGGTCGCCCTCCCTGAGTCCCTGCCTCATTGAGGGCCCCGAACAGCACCAACGGCACAGGGCGGCTGCCTGAAAACCAACATGGGAGATCGCCGCTGCAGGGAGAGCCAGTGCGCCACTGCAACGAGATATGCAGCGGTGGATTGACGGTGCATTGTTCGGGAGGGGGGAGGGGCGCTGACCAGATGATGCACCGAGTCACCCTTGATTGACCAAGAGAATTCCGCCCATTGAACCTTAACTTGGCCGCACTTGGCAGGTCGAGAGGGGCGTCATTCTACATAATGGCCTCAAACGGCCGGCGAGAGACGGAGACGAGGGGGAAAGGGTGCGGGCTCGAAATGCACTGCTTTGCTAGTTCGCCCTCCGGTCTCTCTTTCGCAGTCCCCGTTGCGCACCTTTGCACCACCTCATCAGCCTTGGGCCTAACAATTCACCATTTGAGCGGGCAGACAAGTACAAATCTGTAGCAGGATCGCAGGATGGACACGCTCGGAGTCGAGGATCTCTTTCGGGTCGTATGCGAAACGATACCAAAGAACCGGCGGTTCTCTGGGCTTGCCGAATCTGGTGGGAATGAGCCACCGGGCTGTTTGCTGTGGATATATGCGCTGCCGTCTGTTAGTTTAGTGCCAGTTGCCACTTCTGCTTTCCTCTGGCATACTCGCAACTCGGTTGCTCCTTCGAGGATAAGGCCTGACATCCGGGACCGCCGACATTCTATAGACCTCCACGACCTGTGGAAGGCGCTTTCACAGCTTATCGAAGTACAACTTCGAAGCAAACGGGTAGATATCGCTGGTTGACAACCTCTCGACCAGGCACAGAGAGGCTGCTTGAAGATGGCATGGAGTATCTCTTGACTGACTAGCGATGCATGCCAGTCTGTGAACTGCCCTGGACTGGGGTGCTTCTATGTCAAACGAGTAAAGCAAATATCCGGAGATGAGACGGGGGTATGTCTACCACAGTTCTTTCCCTCCAAGAACTGGGAGAGGATACCGGGCTATCAGTCGAGTCGATCATCAACCAACGGTGAGTAGCATTTGGTCTGCTCGACGGGCAGCATCGCATGGCGCTACTGGGGTCGCAGCAAGAGTATAACCATTCGCAGCAAGAGTATAACCAGTCGCGGCGTCGAGACGGCACATCCATTGATCCGCCTATTTTATCGCTCGGTACTTGTAGGACCCACCGTCTCCGAGCCTTTGAATTTTTCTGCTCTGACCCAATACTGCAGCTATCCCCGAGACGAACTCGAAGCTGGAGTAAAAGACATTGTTCATGCCCTTCATCGGGTGCTGAAACGAGGAACAAACGTCGTTTTGGCCATGGGCAGCTTCGGCAAGCTATATTTTCAAAACCCTGAAATACGTCTGAGGTGACTCCCCCCTCCGACTGCTCTCCGTGTACTTTGTCACTCTGTTTCGTATTAAGACGATGGCCCATCCCGTCCATCATAATGCAAACCTCGTGGACGTCAGATTCTATCCCGGTTTCGTCAAAAGCCTAAGTGATATGGTCAAGCCTGTGACAGAGTAACTATCACTGTTGCTGCTGCCCACGCTTTTTCGTCAGACAGCTGTCCCGCCAGAACCCCAAGATTTGGCTACGACAGTTGCGACTTGCTTGGATCCTATCTCATATACTCCACGCTTTACTGAGTGTCGCGGGTTTGTTCTTGTCCAGACCGGTTGCAGAGCACATTCTTCCTCTGGACTCTCCATTACCATCCAATCCTGTCGCCGTCGACCCAATTCCGAGTCCGATCGAGAGCGTCGAAAGCGCCCCTTCATCCAGCAGCATCACTCTCCCCCCACTACCGGCACTTCATCAAGCCGAACCACAATTTACAGAAGATGATCCAGAGGACCTCAGTGAACGAGACCTGGACACCGAGGAAAGCTCTGTCGCTGGCACTCCACCTCCAAAGTTGTCCAAGACGAAGGCTGATGAGAATGACCCAACGTACCCGTACGGCTACCGAGTAGGTTCGTATCATGGCGACGGATGCCCTGGACATTGACAGCTGATAAAATGGGGAGGTGACCATATCCATGGAGCAAACACAAAGGGGTCATGGCAGAAGAAAGCACGAGGCGTAGCTTGCAGATTTGCTAGCGATATTCACCCGCTTGGTTTGCATTATCGCCAGTGGGAACACATACGCACCCGCATTCCGGAGATCGTCTATGGACCAATGTGAAATGCCCCATATGTCGCCAGCGCAACATGCCCGTGATCGATGTTAAGGAGCAGCTGGTCCGCAGGGAGAAGGACCACGACAGACTGCTGCTCCACTTGTCTTTGGAAGTTGACCGTGAGTTTATGAAGAAAACAAAGGTAATATCTGGCTCGTAATGGATCGTCCTTGTAAACCAAATAACGTATGCCAAGGCACTCATTGGAATGGCTCCGGTCACCTTGTTATACATAGGAGCTGGAGCTAGATAAGCTCAAGACAGCCATAGCCACGGCACAGTACAATCACACCAAAGCCATGGACAAAGAAGCCCAGCGCAAGAGCATCAACCTGCCAATGGGGAATCTGTTTGAGAATCGTCCTCCTCCACCCGATCGAATTTTGCAGAACCAGCAGCTCTCTGAGGGCCTCCACGAGCAGATAGTGTCCAAGCAGATCAAAAGAACACAAGAGAAGCTGCAGAAGGAGTACGAAGACCGCGTGCTGAATCAAAAATTCTTGAGAGAGTAAGTCAAGACCGATCGGCGCTCGTGGCTGTGCTGAAGAAGCGCATATAGACTCAACAGCCGTGAATGCGAATGTTACTTGCTTCCATAACTTAGATTCAAGACAAGCGAGACAGAAGCACACCTGGAAAAGCTCAAGCGAAGACAGGCTCAACAGGATGCGCTCTCAGAGCAGATCCGCACTGCCCAAGAGCGACGAAAGCAAATCACCGGAGCTGAGACCGACAATCCCTTTGCCCGAAGTGAGAGCTTGATGTTTTTGTACCAGAAAGAAAAGGCAAAACAGCTCTATCAGGAGCAACTGGCAATCATCAAACAAAAACGGGAGTACGAAGCCAGAGTGGCAGATATCGAACGGAAGAATGCGCTGGAGAGACTGTGTCTTTCGAGGAAGGAGTAAGTGCAGCTGGGATGGCGTGCGGTGGTGGCAGCTGCAAAGGACTACTGCAGCGGTATTGGTGCTGTGCGCTTTTCGACTTTGGTTATTGACGGCGGTCGGAAAATCGCTCGTATATTAATCAGTCTACTTTTGCCATCGCTGTCCCTGAATGCACTGTCCTGGTCCTCTGTTTACTGTTGGTTATGAACACTACCTGGCCACTTGTCGGCGAAGGCTTGAGAAGGACCTCCAATCGCTCAAGAAGTCCAATTTCCAGACGCGGAAGTCGCTCGAAAGCTATTGGACAGAACAGATTAAGCTCAAAAGTGTAACGGGGATGGGAACTGGGCTGGGACTGGACCTGGGCTGGGACTGAACTGGGATCGGGCTGGGACTGGTTTTACTGGCGTTGTCTGCCTGGAGTTTATTTGTTAAGCTCAAGGGCATCCTATTTATCGACCCTCCTCTCGCGGTCCGCAGGCGGTGAGCTGGTGCCTGCGGTCGGCGGGCGTGGCTGCGGAAGGTGCGGATGCCTGCGGACGAGGCTGCGGAGCGGAGTTGGCAGAGTCATCGGCGGCCTTGCTGCGCTCTGTCACATCACCCCTTCTTTAAAGTCACCTCTTAGCGGCCTTGTTGGTTCTCTGGCTCTCGTTGCTGCCTCGGGGTTTGTTCGGGTACTTCTTGTGGAACTGATGTACGATTAGCGGTGCGCTTATGCAGTTTCGTTCAGGTTCCCATGAATCCTCTTCGTGGCCGTAACCTTTCCAGCGTACCAAGTACTCGATACCTTTGCCTCGCTTGCGTGAATCGAGTATCTCCTCGACCTCAAATTCCTCATGTCCTTCGACGTTGATTGGCGGAGGAGGTGGTGTATGTCGGCCTGGAATTTCGTTGTCAGTTACGGGTTCCAACAAGGACGTGTGGAATACTGGATGTATCTTGCTCATGCTCTTGGGGAGCTTAAGCTTGAATGCGACATCGTTGATTTTGGCTTCAATCTCGAAAGGCCCGAGTCGCTTCCAGTCAAGCTTATCGCATGGTCGTTGGGTCTTGATGTTCTTCCGAGAGAGCCAGACCTTGGAACCGATTGCAATTGTAATGGCCTTGCGATGCTGATCAGCGTATTCCTTTTGTCGTGCTTGTGCCTTCTTGAGTTCGTGTTTCAATGTATCCAATTGCTGCTTCATGTTCTGAACTCGTTCCTCGGCGGCGGGGACAGTTGCTTGTGTTGACGTCTTGAAGTCGCAGATGGGGTGGAGCCCGTAATTGGCGTAAAACGGCGTCATCTTCGTGCTAGCATGAATCGAGTTGTTGTATGCAAATTCGGCTAGTGGCAGGAGTTGCACCCAATCGTCTTGTTGATACCCACAGTAACATCGTAAGAACGTCTCGAGAACTGCGTTGATCCGTTCGGTCTGTCCATCGGATTCTGGATGATATGCGCTGGACAGGCTGATTGAAGTGTCCAAGAGTTCATGGAATCGCTTCCAGAATGTGGACTTGAATTGTGGACCGCGGTCCGATATGATCGTCTTTGGAGTTCCGTGGAGCCGGAATATAGTGTCGACAAAGAGCTTTGCTGTTTGTTCTGCCGTTATCGTTGTGTGGCATGGTCGGAAGTGCGCCATCTTGGTTAGTCTGTCTACAAATACTGCAATGGCGTCAAAGCCTTCTGACTTGGGCAGCTCAACAATAAAGTCCATGGAGACGGACTCCCAGGGCCTGTCTGGAATGGGCAATGGTCTCAAGGTGCCGTATGGGAGGTGTCGTGTCGGCTTGGCGCGGCAACAGACCTCGCACGACTTTATGTAGTTGCTGGTGATCTTGAAAAGTTTCGGGAACCAGTAGTTCCTTCCGATGAGCTCAATTGTTTTCTCCCTCCCAAAATGCCCGGCTGTCTTTGAGTCGTGTGCCTCTTTCAATATCTCGAGCTGGAGCTGCAGCGTGGGGACGTAGAGGAGGCCCTCGCGGTAGAGTAAACCTCTTTCGATATCGTACACCCGGTACTGGGGCTTGTCCATCCCCGACATTACTTCCTGGGCATAGGAGTCATCCTTGAGGGCGGACTTAACTCTTTCTTCGAACGGTGTCAATGGAGTGTCTGCAATTGCTGCAATTCGAAACTGTTCGGGTTGGAGGAGTATTTGCCGCTGTTGGATCGAGGCTGGATCCTCAGGCGTGAGCTCGTGTTGGGGTTTTCTGGAAAGGGCGTCTGGTACGACCATATCTCGTCCTGGCTTGTAGACGATCTCAAAGTCAAATTCGGACAAGAACATTGCCCAACGTGCTTGTCTGCGGTTCAGTACACGGCTCGTTGAGAAGTAGGTTAAGTTCTTGTGATCGCTGTGGATGATGACCTTGTCCTTGGAGCCGGCTAAATACTGGCGCCATTCCTTGAGGGCCGAGACGATAGAAAGCAATTCCTTGTCATACACCTCATAGTTGATTTCAGGGGCCGTTAGCTTGCGTGACATGAAACATGTAGGGTGATGAACCCCGTCGGAATCGGTTTGGCAAAGTACCGCACCGATTGCGAAGTCACTGGCGTCCGTTTCAACAATGAAGGGTTTTTGCGGATCTGGATGTTGAAGAACCGGAGCGGAGGTGAAGGCCTGCTTGAGTTTGTCAAAGGCTTGATGGGCCACCTCGGTCCATTGAAACTGCTCCTGCTTGCCGGTCAGGGCATGGAGAGGCACGGTGATCTTACTGAAGTCGGATATGAATGTTCTGTAATAGTTGGCCAGGCCAAGGAACATCTGCAACTGTTTGACGGATCGGGGTGGCTCCCAATCGAGGACTGCCTGGACCTTTCGAGGGTCCATCTTCACTCCTTGTGTGCCGATTATGTGGCCAAGGAACTCGATCTCTTCGGCGCTGAATTGGCACTTTTCCAATTTACAAAAGAGATTGTGGCTTCTCAGCTGCTCGAGGACAAGTCGCACATGGTGGTCATGCTCAGCTGGGTCTTCTGAAAAGACGAGGATGTCATCGAGATATACTGCCACGCAGTGATCCAGATCCCTCATGACATGGTCCATGAACGATTGGAATGTTGCGGGTGCGCCTTGCAACCCGAAGGGCATGACTTTATACTCAAACTGACCCAGAGGGCACGCAAAGCTTGTGAGCCACTCATGGCCTTCATGGATCCTGATGAGGTTATATGCGCCTCTTAGATCCAACTTGGTGAAGACACGGGCTCGTCGTACTTTGCGGAACATTTCCTTGATGTTCGGCAAGGGGTAGTGCTGCTTCTTGCAGAGCTTATTCAGCCGGCGATAATCAACGCACAACCTCAGTTCTCCTGACTTCTTCTTGACAAATAGAATCGGGGCCACGACGGGGGAGGTGCTGCGTTGGATGAAACCGCATTCGAGATTTTCCTTGATATAGTTACGTAGTGCGCTCATCTCGGTCTCTGTCAGTGGGTACGGCGTACCTCGTGCTGGTAACGTGTTTGGGTCAGCGAGCTCCAGTTTGTGATCCCATGACCGATGTGAGGGAAGTATCTTGGCTTGGGTTGGGCTGAACACGTCTTGGTACTCGCTGTACTTGTCTGGTAATACAATCGTTTCATGGGGGGTGGTGACATCCAAGGAACTGATGATGTATGTTTCTCCTTGGGACATATCTCTCTTGAAGGTCCGAGCGCTGACAGCTCTCACCGCTGGTTGGTTATCGGACAGGTGCAGATCAGGTATCGTGCTCCGCTGTCCACCGCAATGGGATTGGCAGTGAGGGGAGTCAAAGCGTATATCCCGCGTAGCCCAGCTGATATTAGGCTCGTGGGTTTTCAGCCAGGGGTATCCCAGGATGAGTTCGTGATACGGGGATTGAATCAACTTGAAGCTGATCACCTCACGGTGACCATTGATGGTCATTGCGAGCGGCTCGGTCTCATCTGTGATGTGGCCTGAAGCGAGGAGCTTCCCATCCACGGCGTAACCTTGGATTGGATGCTCGAGGCGACGAAGGGGAAGTCGGTGTTTGGCAGCTACGTCAATGTCTATACAATTCAATTGTGACCCGGAGTCGATGAAAGCAACCATTTGGAAGCTAGTGCTCCCATAGCAACACAAGGCTTGGGTTTCGAGGCTGAGTGGTGCCCCGTTATTGGTAAGACTACTAATGTGTCCGCTTGAGAGACACGGAGGGTCAGGAGGTTCTAGGTGAGGTGGGTCCGACGGTACTCCTGTAGCAACCGTCGGACTCAGCGAAAACCCTGCTTCTCGGGGCAGTTCTTGGCATAGTGCCCCTTTGCAGAGCAATACATACAGAGGCCAAGCTTACGGCGCCTGTCGCGCTCTTCTTGCGTAAGCTTAACTTGGCTGGCATGACCCGATGGTTCTTGTCCTCGGAGGGCATCCACCTCCATCGGTGTTATCTGAGACGCATGGTGTGAGGTGGGGGCGGCCCTGTGAAGCTGTCTGGGTTCGGGGTGCGAGGGGCGACGTTCGGTGCGTTGCTCCCTTCGGCGTTCAAAGAGTCGGGCATCAATGCTGATAATATGGTTTACCCATTCCTCGAACTCGTCGGGCTCCCTGGACTTGGCCAACTCGTCCTTAACTTCTGAGTTGAGTCCACGACGGAGGGCGTGACGCAGGGCGGCCTCGTTCCAGTTGGTGTCTACGGCGAGGCGGCGAAACTCCGCAATATATGCTGCAGCGGAGCGTCCCCTTTGGACGAGGGCATCGATCGCCCTCTCCGCGGATTTGGTACGGTCCGGGTCTCCGAAGGAGGCGTTGAATCTCCTAATGAACTCTTCAAAGTTCTCGAGGACAGTTGGGTCGTTTCTCTCCAGGATCGGAGCAAACCATGCGGCGGCAGTCTCCCTAAGGAAGCTGGCGGCATACATGACCTGAATTCGGTCGGTATTGTATCGTTGGGCTTGCATGGAAAACACAAGTCGGAGTTGATTGACGAAGCTTCTAGATTCCGAACGGCGGCCCGAAAAGAAGGCGGGGTCAGCGACTCTAGGTTCTCGGTCGTTGTGGACGGCATGCGCCTGGAACTGGGCAAGGTTATTGGCTGCAGCTTGGGCCTGTTGCAGAGCGGCCATGTGGGCCTGCAGCTGGGTGAATTGATCGCGAAGGTGGTTGTATGCCGCGAGGACTTGATTCATGTTGTCGGCGTTTCCATCGGGGTGGCCTTCGGGGTTCATGATGAGAGGAGGCAGACAAACTGTAACGGGGATGGGAACTGGGCTGGGACTGGACCTGGGCTGGGACTGAACTGGGATCGGGCTGGGACTGGTTTTACTGGCGTTGTCTGCCTGGAGTTTATTTGTTAAGCTCAAGGGCATCCTATTTATCGACCCTCCTCTCGCGGTCCGCAGGCGGTGAGCTGGTGCCTGCGGTCGGCGGGCGTGGCTGCGGAAGGTGCGGATGCCTGCGGACGAGGCTGCGGAGCGG